TGATTACTTTTCTAATTTTCTAATCTTTTCAACTGTTCATTATTTTGAAACATTTAAAGCAGTCAGGGTTAACCTTACAGTAGCACTCAACACTGATTACTGTCAGACTTTCAGAAACCTTCTTCACTTGAATTAAGATTATAATAATTTAACTGTAAAGCACAGCCATAACAAAATCGGACTTTAGCACCTCTTTTTACTTTGAGATCTTTTATACAGATTTATAATTATAAGATATAGTTTAATAGTTATGATACTGTTTTTGAAATCAAATCTTTGCATAGCTATGACCGGGAACACTGGCATCTAGCAATGCCTTGGAAAAAAAAAATCATATACATAAACCAAAATAGGAAATAATAGCCCTGTCAATCATCTTCTCTGACTTTCATATTTTTTTACTTACGCAGTGTGCCTACGGTGCACCCCGCGCTTGGTTGCGTGAGAAATTAGATCTGTGGTGATAGAACTTCTGATCACAGTGGCTTTAGGCTGCTTTATAGAAACGTACCACAGAACTGACACAGAAAAGAGTTCAGGTCGACTTTCTTAATACGTAATACAGACTGTGTGAAGCTCTGCCAAATTTCATATTCCCACAGCATTGCCAATAATAGTTTGCTCGATAGCAGTATTTCACCCCTGCAGCAGCTGTGCCAACAAATGATGTCAGAATTACATTTGGTGATTTACTCCGAGCTGTACCTTGGCAAACTGACTCCTTGGTCTCAGACGGACCGCCCACAGTCCAGTCACTGACCGTCTGATGCATATTGACACAAAAATGGGAAGCGTTGGCTGAAATGCCAGTTACAGTCTGAGAAAAACAACTCATAATTTTAGGTAGTTAAAATCAAGCGTAGCGTTAGTTCTGGCAGGTCACGTTAGTCAAGCTCGCATCAGCTGACTCTCAGCTGATCCCCATCTACCTATAGGAATACGACACCTATCTAAGCGTTCATATATAAGGTCCCTCAGTATTATCAGCAGTTTTCACATTGCTCAATAGCTAATTACCCTCCTCCATCCCCAACTCCTCCTCTGTCAGTCAGGATTCAGCCTTCTGATTCTCCTTTGAATCAGACTAATTCTAAAATGTGTACATAACATTATTGAACTTTAACGATATCTGCAATACATTTATGTTGGTTCTGTTCTGTTTACCTGGGGGGGTTATTGCTGCTCTCCCTGCTCTCATCCATGCTAGGCTGCATGGATGCGCAGGGAGTTCTTGCCCAGAACAGAACCATACCGCCAAACCAAACTGTATGCTAATTGTCAATCATCTTTGACGATATTGGTCCTGACAGAAATACAGTTATCGAATAAGCATGTGTCCTATTCTGTGTCCTCAACTCCTGAAACATTGCGTCTGGATGTAACCCCCTTTGTAATCATTAACATTTTCATAAGTGTAATTACACATTTTTTTTTCTCAGTAACTGTAACAGATTACAGTTACATTTATTTTGAAATTAAATGACGTAATTTAGTTACATGTAACTAGTTACTCCCCAACACTGACAATGTCAGACTTAGGGTTGCCACCCGTCCCTTAAAATACGGAATCGTCCCGTATTTAACGTTAAAGGTAAAATGATGCGTCCCGTATCAAATCAATACGGGACGCGATTTGTCCCGTATTTTTTAAAGGCCAACACATATTTGAATAAACAAATACGTATTTTGCACTGTTTATAATACTAATAGCAATTATAATTCAATCAATTTCATAAAAAGTATTAGATAAGCTCATTTGAGCGTGATTTTGGCGTCTTTGTTTCCATAGCGACGGAGTCTCCAGAGCGCGCGCCGTTAAAGCCCTTTCACACGAGCGCAGCAAGCGATAAACCTGCGCGGTTTAAAACAAATCTAGAGCTCACGTCTGCCCTTTGAACACAAGGCTCTCCAGATGTAGGGCTGAATGAGAAAGTTATCAATGGATCTGTCCAGTAACTAATAATGAACGCGCAGTTTGCAGAGAAGCTTGCTCACGGTGGACTGTCTGACTTAAAGGGACAGTTCACCCAAAAATTAAAATTGTGTCATCGTTTACACTCCCACAAGTTGTCCCAAACCTTAATAATTTATCTCTTCTGTTGAGCATAAAAGAAGATACTTTGAAGAATGTACCTAACCAAACAGTTTCTGGTCCCCAATGACTCTGATAGTATTTTTATTTATTTTTACCTTACTGTGGAAGTTACAACCAGCAGCTGTTTGAGACACATTCTTCAAAGTATCTTCTTTTGTGTTCAACAGAAGAAAGTACTTTATGCAGGTTTAGAAAAACCTGGGTAAATTATGACAGAACCTTTAAAGTGACAGACACATCCGTGCTTCTAAAGATATTTATTTAGTCATTTAGCAGACGCTTTTATCCAAAGCGACTTACAAATGAGGACAATAAAAGCAGTCAAAACTAACAAAAGAGCAACAATATATAAGTGCAAATGACAAGTCTCGGTTAGCCTAACGCAGTACACGTAGCAAGGTGTATACATATATATATATACATATATATACACATATATATATATATATATACATACATACATACATATATACACACATATATACATATATACATACATACATACATACACACATATATATACACATATATATATATACATATATATACATACACATACACATATTATTATATTTTTAGACATGATTAGACAGATAAATTAATATATTATAATTCATGTTAGGCCCTATTTATTAATTTATCATTGATATTAGTCATAAATATATACATAATAAATAATCATATATGTCATATACAATTTGGCATTTTAAAAAGTTTAAAAAATGCTAAATTGTTTAGATAAAAATGGGACAAATAATTACATAATAATGTATTCCTAATTTTAAAAAATAAATAAAAATTCATCCCATCCAGGTAACAGCTGCAGAACTGTAAAAAAAAAAAAAAAAGACTAATAATAATAATCATTAATAATCATTAATAATCAAATTTAAAATAACAATATTAATGTGTTCTGCTGCAAGTTTACATACTTGAGCATGTTTTCTCATGGTTTATTGTTGAGCTATGAGTTCCTCACTGATCATTTGTGTCCTTGTTTTGTTTTTTTGTGGTCGTGAATGGGTGTCCCTTATTTGCCTCGCTGAAGGTGGCAACCCTAGTCAGACTGCAATACTCAAAACATTATTTTCTATGTTCTGGTTCTAAAAACCTCACGATACGCAGTAAATGATTCAGAATGGAGAATTAAAAGCTGAAGCACACGGGCTCTGAGAGCAACCACACACACACACACACTGCACCATATGGCCCCAGCATCAAGTGTCGTGTTTGCGTAGCGCATTGGCACTGCACTCGTCCTTCTTACCATTATCTTTCCATTCGAACGCATTCAAAGCAACTCCAGCGTAGAAACGTTACTCCTCAAGTTATTCCAAAACAGTTTCTTGCCATCCTGCTCATCATTTTAGCGCTTTGAAATGTGGGCTAATTACACAAAGACCCATCAAGCCTGAAGTGGAACAGCCTTGCAATGGCTTGATAATTCCCCACTCCACACTGGTCCGTTGTGTTGTACAGCCCGAGTACCTCAGCATGCATATTTCATGTCTATTATACTAGTTTTCTGTAATGAATAGAGTGGGCAGCTCTAGGTTTTCAGATGAATACAGAAAGCTAACAGTTCACATCATGTACAGTAGTGTGTTTCTGAGTCACCTCCCGTGTTTAAGTTGTGAGCTGAACTTTAATAGTGTGCTCTGCTGTAATCACATACAGAGAAAGTCCTCACCACATAACCATACTCTATCAAACAATTACGCATAAATTAAAGTTTCATGCTGGAAACCTACATTTAAGACTCTCTCAGCAAGTTAAATATATTGAGTTTCATGCCTTTCGAAGACAGTATGAGTGAACGTGTAAATGACCCTTGGATATGTGCAGTAAAACATCACCTCATCAGCTCTCCACCCGGTCATTACTGATGAACCAAACCCTTAATGATTTGAATGATTAACTAAAACACCATAAAAGAAGAAAAATAAAATAACTAACATACCTGGTGAGAACTGTAGAGTGTTTAAATTCAACAAGCTGCTGCTCCTTAGAGGAACATGATGTTTCTTCTTGAACTATTCTTAACTAGTATGGATCATCTGGACAAGAGCTCTTGTCTAAGTGCTTCAAGTAAGAGTGAACTCTGATCTTTTTAGACTATGACATGTCGGTTTTAGAGGCTTGTAAAATAATGCAAACCCAGGATTGGTGGAATCCATCTGAAAATGTTAAGTTTTGTAACATCTTTATGATGGTCATAACTTCTTTGTCATCTGACTCTAGTGATTTTCTATACATTCACTGTTTCCTATGCACCTTAAACTATCTAGTTATGCTTCATCTGAACGTCTGTACAAAAGAGTTCACAAATTTGGTTAGCACCCTATAAAATTGCAGATTATTAAATATCTAAAATATAATGTTTAATATTTTTAAGATAAATCCTGAGTTCAGTTTATTTAGACAAATCCTCACTTTCAGTTTATTAAACTACAATTACAATTTTCATTTAGTCTCAAACACTGTACATGTCCAATTTAGTTTAAGAAAGAACCGTTTTCCATATTACGAATGACAAAAATGAAACAAAGATCTGAATATTATTTATTAGAATGAATTTTGCCAGGTAGATGATTTTCATAAAGAAAAGAATCACTTTTGATCACAGGTTTTTCCGTGAAGCTCCATGAAACAATGCAGCTGTCAACAAAAAATGTTTGGTTATGCATGTATCAAATGTTCTGTTGATACTGCAGTGGATCTGAAGACTGGATTTTATTTCTTCACAATCTGAATGACATCCTCATGTTCCATGATGTGTGTCAGTCCTACTCTCTGAGGACTGTACTTTGTGCTTGTTCCCTGTGATCCAAAAAGACAACAGTAGAACTCAAAAGCATGGAACAAAAGCAAGAGTATATTTCACTTCAGGTGAAGAAGGATCTTACCCAGACAAGTGCGTACTTGAACTGGCTAGCTAATGTCCTGTGGATTCTGTGACACTGGAAGAAATAAGAAGCACAATCATGATTGATACGCTAAAAATATATACGATTTAGATAGATAGCACATAAAATAGAAATACACGTTCAGGTATACATATATTTTTAGACAACACTTCAGCATTTACTGTGTAAATAGTTTTCTAAAATGAATATATATATATCCAGAGCATGTTTTACCACAGGCTGACCACTGCATAATACATATACAAAGTACACATAAACAAAGTTGCAGGTATCACAGGACAACAAAACAGAGACATACCACATGTTCAACTGATGCTCCTCGTCTCAACTCTCTGAGGACTGTACTTTGTGCTTGTTCCCTGTGATCCAAAAAGACAACAGTAGAACTCAAAAGCATGGAACAAAAGCAAGAGTATATTTCACTTCAGGTGAAGAAGGATCTTACCCAGACAAGTGCGTACTTGAACTGGCTAGCTAATGTCCTGTGGATTCTGTGACACTGGAAGAAATAAGAAGCACAATCATGATTGATACGCTAAAAATATATACGATTTAGATAGATAGCACATAAAATAGAAATACACGTTCAGGTATACATATATTTTTAGACAACACTGCAGCATTTACTGTGTATATAGTTTTCTAAAATGAATATATATATATATCCAGAGCATGTTTTACCACAGGCTGACCACTGCATAATACATATACAAAGTACACATAAACAAAGTTGCAGGTATCACAGGACAACAAAACAGAGACATACCACATGTTCAACTGATGCTCCTCGTCTCATGATTATAGGGTCACCGAAATCTGGGCGCTCTTAACAACAATAAAAAATAATAAAAATTTTTTAAAAAGTAATGAATAAAAACACTAATTACAACAATTCAAACATATGCAGTTTTTTATTATTATTTATTTATTTTTCCAGTTTTTAAGACAATCTCTGAAAGGAAATTCCACAAATTAAATTATGATTTAAATTTAAAATGGATTCAAATGTGAACCTAAAATGAACCAAGATCTGTTTGATGCCAAACAGACATGGTTTATAACTAAAAGCTCTAATAAATAATTAACAAATTAAAATACTCTAATCTCAATAAAAATGCTTTAAAAAAAACAAGTAATTAATTAATCGAATGTATTAATACAAAACAAGCAGCTTTGTCATAGGGTGAAAGCACCTTAAATTACTATAAATTGAGGACCAAAAAAAAAGCTTACCTCCTCTTTTCTTGGTGTATATGCAGATCAGAGCCAGGTCTTCCCATAACTGCTCAAGCAGATAATCTAGATTCAGCTTCATGCCGCAGCTGATCACTACACTGTTAGGTCTATGAGCAAGACGATCCACTTCCTCTATTGAAATCTGATCCACTTTGTTGTACACCTGTAATAAGACAGAGATTCATTATATCATTTTAAATTTGCTGACATAATTACAACTGAGAAGCTTTGCATCAGGTTGATGCTTGAATTGAAATATATACTCACATATAAGCAAGGCATGTACACTCTGTTGCCCACAATGACATCAATAAATTCGTCAGGAGTACTGTCCTCTCTGAACAAAACCTCAGCGTTGAAGATTTCTGTCATGTTAAGGTTGACGTGTTGCTCATTATTAGTTCAGTTCAGCTCAATTTTATTTATATAGTACATTTAAAAACAACCATGGTTGACCAAAGTGCTTAACAATGTCCGGAAAAACGCACACACAAACAAGACAAATACAGTAAAAACATCACAATGTCTCAGCTCGAAATAAAAGCCATGGAATACAGGTGTGTCTTAAGTAATGACTTAAAAATTCCAACAGTCTGAGCAGTTCTTATGTGTACAGGTAAACTATTCCACAAATTAGGTGCCACCACTGAAAAAGTTTGGTCACCTTTATTTTTTAACCTGGCTTTCGGAACATCGAGGAGCACCTGATTGGACGACCTCAGCGCTTTAACAGGAGTGTGGACATGTAAAAGCTCTGATAAATCTTGAAATCAATCCTGAAGCGGACAGGAAGCCAGTGTAGTGAAGTTAAGACAGGGGTATTAGTCCCAACTCCTTATGTGGCAGGTAGGGCTTGACTTTAGCCAACAGTCTCAGTTGAAAGAAACTGGCTTTTACAACAGAACTAATCTTTTATTTTTTATTTTAATGCACTGTCAAAAATCACACTGAGATTCTTGGTAAATGGACGAACATACAAACCTAAATTACCAAGTGCATCTACAAGCACTTAAATCCCCAGGACGACCAAACACAACAATCTCAGTTTTATTTTCATTAAGACAAAGAAAGTTCTGATCCAGCCACATTTTTAAATCTCTCAGGCAATTAAGTAATGACAGAAATTAAGCTTTGTCATTTAGCTTTTAGAAATTAAGCTTTGTTTTGACAGGCAAATAAATTTGACTTGTACATCATCCGCATAACAGTGGAAGGAGATATTGTGCTTTCTAAACATATACCCCAAGGGCAGCATATACAAAGAAAACAACATAGGGCCCAATATTGACCCTGGACGCCACAAAAAAGAGGGGCAGCAGATGAAGAAAATTCACCAAGGTGAACAGAAAAACTTCTGTCTGTCAAATACGACTGAAACTATTTAAGGGCTATGCCCTTAATGCCGACACACTGCTCAAGTCTAGATAAAAGAATTGAATGGTTGACAGTATCAAAGGCCACAGTCAAATCCAAAAGGACCGTAAGCTACGGCGTAGGTCCGACGCAGAAGTATAAATCAGCCTTAAAACAGCAGAGTTACCAGAGTCCAAAGTTAAAAGAAGATCATTAGAAACTCGTAAAAGAGCAGTTTCTGTACTGTGACTGGACTTAAAACCAGACTGAAATTTTTCATAAATACTAAATTTATCTAGAAATGATTGAAGTTGATTAAAAACAACTCTCTCCAAAACTTTCGATAAAAAGGGGAGTTTAGATATAGGTCTAAAATTAGACAAAATTTAAGGATCCAAGTTATTCTTTTTTAGAAGCGGTTGCACAATGGCATGTTTAAAAACAGCTGGTACACACCCTAAGCTGAGAGATGTATTAACCAAAGATACAATGCTTGGCCCAACAGTGTCAAAGACATCTTTAACTAAGCGTGCAGGAATACTGTCAAGGGGGCAGTTTGCAGGACGTAGCTGTTTAACTATGTCAGAAAGATAGGAGAATATAACCGGCTCAAACTGATGAAAGACAACTGGGCAAAAAGAGAAAAGAGAAACCGTGAATAAACAATGCTAAAGGATACTGTATTCATGAAGAATGAGCTGAACAAGCTTCTCAGGGCAGTGTGTGAGGGGAACCATTGAATTGTACGATAGGCCACCACCTTTTTTAGGCTGAAAAACAGATATTTCACAAGTAAGGAATACATTTCTTTCAAAAAAAAAAAAAAAAAAAACTTAAAATCTTAAAAAATCTGCTACAAAATGTTTTTTTTTTTGTCATTTGCATATTATTGTCAACCAAACAGTTATTTTTGTTAAAGAAATACATTTTTTTAAAAAAAAAAAAAAAAAAAACTTAAAATCTTAAAAAATCTGCTACAAAATGTTTTTTTTTTTGTCATTTGCATATTATTGTCAACCAAACAGTTATTTTTGTTGACAAAAAATTTATTTTGAAGAGAGTAAAATGGACTCAAATTAATGAACGACACTTAAAATATAAGCTTAAAAGACATTTTAGTCAATAGACAAACTATGACATAAAAAAAAACTGAAACACTGACCTTAAAATAGATATTTGGTTTGGGGCAGTTGAGTCTGATGCCAACAGATTCTAGTTCTTTTTCGAGAAGTTCCCTAAAAACACAAAACAACCATCGTCAAACAAACAGAGCAATAGTGCAAACAGTGCAAACATTCTCCACTGCTCCAATTCACCTCTGAACATCTCCTTTAGTCGCATCCAACATCATGATGACCACATCTGCAGTTCTGGCCACAGCAATGACCTGTCGACCTCTGCCCTTACCTTTAAAACAAACACACAGAAAAAGGACACATTTCATATGCCAAAATACACATGCAAATGTACATTACTCTTCAAAACACAAATGAACGTACCTTGTGCAGCCCCCTCAATGATCCCAGGCAAATCCAGCAGCTGTATGTTGGCACCTTTGTACTAGAATTGAATTTTTTTAAATGAAACGAATATCATGTTGGTTAATATAATAACAACATAAATAACATAAGCAGAAATAAGATATACACAAAAACAGAGAGAAAAAAATATATATTTTGGAATAAATAATACCTGAATGACACCGGGAATGCAGGTCAAGGTGGTGAATTCATATGAAGCAGCTTCACTTTCTGTTGATGTCATTAAACTGAGAAATGTAGACTACAAAAACACCATAAATTAGAGCATGTCTCTTTTTAGTGCAACAAATACAGTATTGACATATTAATAATAGAAAATGTTTGCGTATATTACACAAAATTTAACAACAATACACATTGTCAACAGAATACAGAGAAAAATAAGAGTTAATAATTTGCTTAAGACAGAAAAAGACAAATAGGAGGAGAAAGAAAAAAACCATAAAAGCAAGACATGTAATTATACATAAATTAAAGTATACAAAATTAAAGGCATTCAAATCATTCTATTTGGTTTCTTATTTACTGAAGATGTAATGGTGTTAAAAATCCTTTTTAAATTCTTTCCAAAAAAAAAAAAAAGAAAGAAAATTTGGTTTGCTGCTGATGAACTTGTATTTGTGGATATAAAATATGCAAAGAAGCTAAATTTATAACACAGCTATCATTGTTTTTAGTAAAGTCACGTGCATTGTGTCCTAAAATAATGTTTTTAAAAGTTAAAAGTAAAAGTTCTATCTTGCAGGATATTATCATTTATAAATGTAAATAATAACAATAAGTATCGCTTTTTATTTCTCCTCTTTCCTATTACTTGTTTCACTTCTGTTTCAGTTTTTATAACCATTTCTTACTATGTGTAAGTAAGTTGTTGTTTTTTTAGCATGCAAGTTTGGCAGTGTTATTTTTTAGGATTACTGATAAACTACTGTCGTTTGATTTGTATTATTTGTATTTGTGATTTATTTTAATTTTAGTTACATTATGTCTGAATTTATTATGTCTGTATAGGTCTTTTATTAAGTTTTACTTTTTTATTTAATTTGAGTTATTTTAATACTTCAACAAACTAAATGGAAATGAAATAATATATATATTGAATTTATAAATGTGTATGTATATATATATATATATATATGTGTGTGTATGTATGTGTGTGCGTGTGGTTGTACATACACATATATGTAGTTGTTTTTTAGGTGTTTGGCT